ATCTATCTTCTAATTTGTGTTTTCTGGCAGTCTGCCAGTATTACTGACCTGTCCTGCACTTAGTTTGTTACTAATAAAATAAACTTGATATACTACACTATGGGCACTCTCCCATTCTTTACTCCTCATCGAGGGGTTAGCAGACAGCTTCTAGCACATGCCTTATCCTGAGGAGGGAAGCCTTCACCAAAAGGGAGCCTTCACCTGGTTATTTAATCCTGATCCTGAGGAGGCCCTACGAGTCCAGCAGATTATAGCTTGATGACACCTGTTCCGGAGACAGAACGACATCTGCAGAGACTGATACACACATGCGCATTGCCTATGCGCGGTCGGTGAGTGCGCATTTCTGCCATTGCTTCTGGATTTTGTATAGCTGTATCTACTATATCATTATATCAATCAAAATATTTGATGAACATTTGATATCGAATTTTCATGATCAAAATTTTTTTGGGATCGAACTTTCTGCTTATCGATTTTTAGCGCTGCACTTTATATATATTTCTTTAGACATGAGGCAGTTGTGATCTCCTCTAGTGCTATTAGCTGCTTATTTTTTACAAATTTCTATGAGCGCTCGCTTTATTATATATAATAAAATGACAGTAGTTGCTAGAAGAAAATCCAACCGTGGCATCCTGGGCTAAGCTCAGCTTTGATTTACTTGAAAAAAAAAAAAAAGAGAAGGACACAAAAGGCGGAGACACAATATCAAAAATCTCCAAAGTTTCTTGTTCTTGAAAACAAAACAATTTATTTTCCAGTCAAAAATATACACAAGTCTATAGTTCACAAGAAATTGTTAATAAACCCTGGACCCTGCATTCACTATATCCGGTCTCCCACAGTACACACATGGAAATGCAATTATTTTAGTAAATACAAACTGCTAAATACCATTTCTCATCAGCAGTTAGAGCATAGTTACATAATTAGTCTGGATGAAAAAAGTTAAAAGTCCATCCAGTTCAACCATTAAAAAAAAAAAAAAAAAAAAAAAAAAAAAAAAAAGGAGCAGTCTTGTGACCTCTAACTGTGCCGAGCACTAGTTAATCTTGTAGATGGAGTTTTCATTCTCCTCTGACTGTTCTATGAGACTGCATCAGGGGCGGACTGACAACTCATGGGGCCCCCGGGCAATAGGGGATCATGGGGCCCCTGTGTCCTTGCCCAAACTCAAAAAAGCCTATGAAAAAAAAGGTACCAAGGGCATCTCATGGGGCCCCCTACTGACCCGGGCCCTCGGGCAGTGCCCGAGTTTCCAAATGGTCAGTCCGCCCCTGGGCTGCATTGTCATGTTTCACATGACTGTCATATGCCTTTAAATGTTTTCAGTGTTTTGTCTCTGCTCCTCCCTTTCCTTTAGTTTAGCTAATGTTGCATAGATAGCCCTCCCCCTCTCCCAGAGATGCATTGCAGTAAGCCTCATGGCATGGAGCAGGAAACAGCATGTTCTTTTGACCTATGGAATGTTCATTGTTGTAAGATTCTCTCAATTTATGGAATAAACTTCACAAGATGTCATTCTCATTGAGTCACTGTGGTATCCATCAGAGGTTGAAGTTATCGCTATCTCATCACAACTGTAAGTTACAGAGATCACATTATCAATGCTTAGATTGGAGCAAACAGAACACTGATCACATGCGCCCTCAAAAAAGCAATACACACCAAACAGAGCACGTGCCACTGTTGCTCTAGCTATGGTAGATGGATTGGGGACAGTAAAAGAAGGGGAGGATTAGAGAAGACAGGATCAAACAGCCTTTTTACATATTGCAGAGGATTAACCCCTTAGCTTCCACAGTGACTATAACAAGCATGCTTTACTGCATATACAGACTGATTTTACGGTTGTGGGTTTAGTAACACTAAGCTCAACTGAGCTTCATCAAAACCAGCTAAATACATTCCAGGTATCAAAACAAGTGTTAAAAGTCTTAGCCCGGGTTCACACCGATGCAACTAGACAGTTTCAAATCGCATGACAAGTTGCACTCTATTGTCAGCAATGGAACTGTTAATATCGGTGCAACACTGACCCTGTCGGAGTTGCACCGATTTTGAATGTAGTCCCTACACTACTTTTTGCTTTGTTTTTTTTTTTTTCAATTAGATTTCAATTAGATTTTTATTGGAGGAACGAAAGTCATGTTTAACATATTATACATATTTGACAGACAAAAAAAAAAAAAAAAAAAAAAACATTTGTATGCTACACAATAGCTTAGGTCAGCATGCATTTGGTACAGATATTCTTGCACAGGAGCAGAAATATATTTTGTAGGTGTTTAGCAAAAAGGACTGAAAGGTCTTCTGCATACTACAACAGGAATATGGCGAGAGATAAAAAAAAAAAAAGGGAAAAAGCCAGGAGCTCAGTACAAAGCAAAGCAAATCAGGTAAAGAAGAAAAAAAGGCAATGAGGGAGGGAGTATGAAAAGGTATATGGGGAGGGATAAAGGGAGGGGGGCGGGGGTTATCACTGGCTGTGGATAAGGTAACTCTGTTATCATGAAAGGCAAGTTCATTGTTTGCACAACGCAGGAAGTCGATTTAAAAAGAAACCATGGTCTCCACAACGCCTCGTATTAACTGGTGTGTTCTGTGGCAGTCATCACAGTTTCTTCCGTATTACTAATGTATTCTACTGAAAGTAACCATTCAGGGATGGGGGGTACACGTGTCGTTTTTCAAAGTCTAGGAATAAGAACTTTGGCGGCAGTCAGTAAGGGGTTTATTTACTAAAGCTGGAGAGTCCAAAATCAGACTCCCTTCTGCATAGAAACCAATCAGCTTCCATGTTTCATTGCCAAAGCTTCATTGAACAAGCTGAGGTTAGAAGCTGATTGGTTTCTATGCGGAAGGGAGTCTGATTTTGGACTCTCCAGCTTTAGTAAATAAACCCCTAAGTGTCTTACCAGGGATTTCTTGTATTGACTAAGCGGAAAAGTGGAAATGTGTAATAAACAGCATTCTGGTGCGAGTTGCAATTTTGTTTCTGTGATTTGTCTAATCAAACTGCAAACTTCTTTCCAAAAGGTGTCCAGCAACCGACATTCCCACCATATGTGCATCATTGTGCCCCTTTCTTGTTCACATCACCAACAAAGATCTGCAGTAGAGAGGAACCAAGTATGCAATCGGACTGGGGTGGCATACCAATTGGTTAAGAGTTTATATGAGTTTCTTGGAAACTGGTACCAATTGAGCATTTGTGGGCATGTGTGCATGTTGTACATGTCATGTTAAAAGCCCTTTCCCAACTCCTGCAGGAGCCCAGCGCTGCATCCACCTCAAAGGACTGCCTGCACTACTCTTTGTGATTTAATTTGCGACTTGCATAGACATCTGTGCATGGAGTCACACAGATGTCTTCCAAGTTGCACTGACATGTGACTTTGAATTCATGTGACTTCAAGTGAAGTTGCATAATTTTAAAGTCAGATCTGGAGTCAACCTGCTAGCATGCTGCAGAGAAAGACCCTTGTTCTCTGTGATGAAGCAGTGGTCACCCTGCAGAGTTCTGGCACCCCCTGCTGAGCTGAAGCTAGAGTATTCCAAATTAGCAGGAAGCATGATCTTTGCTGACTGGAGATCAATAGGTTGGACTCCGCAGAGCGAGTGTGTTGGGACTCCGCAGAGAGACCACTGTTCCACACAGATAGCAATGGCCCTTCTCTGCAGCATGCTGGCATGGGACAGGCTTTTCGACTCAAGCTGTGGCCGCTTTCTAAAGAAAACAAAAATTGTAAGACTTTGCACACCTTTTGTTTTGATACACCTGTATACACCTATTTAGCTGATTTACACTGAAAATTTACTTTGGCTTTAAAGGACAGCTGCTTCTTTGTGTCAAAAGTTTCCAATCACCCCATTCAACCTCAACTTCCAGAACATACATAGATGCAGATATATTGAAAGGTACTGTACCATCGAATTACCTCCACTGGACTGCCCTGTTTAGTGTGGTTGTCTCTGCATGAACATCATATACTTAAAAGCGGAGTTCCAGGCTCCTCGGCTCCTTTCTACAAAAAGCACCTGCATTATTCTCTTTAGTTGCAATATATAATTAGGACAGTGTTCTAAGTGTTTGTCGTTTGCTTACTTGTGAATGTGACATTTCTCAGCAGGATCCCAGCAGGCAGCGGCCATTACTAGTGTTGGAATCTGAAGCAACCTGCTACTTTCTTCTGGATTCGGTGTAGCTGGATACCCAGCATGCACCTCCTGATCTCACACTTGCATTGTACAGACACGGCACGGCACACTGTGTTTGTAGGTAACCATAACAATGGCGTCGGCGGAAGATCCAGCCCTGTTATGGCAACCTGACAATCATTCCTCCCAATAGCGTCACTTCCGGTCAAGAAATACCGCAAGACTTCACCATTAGGCTTCCCAAAGACACCTGGGAAAACCAATACCGATATCCCAAGAGTCCTAGGGAATCGCCTAATGATGAAATCGGCTATGCGGCCGGACCAGAAGTGCAGGATATCGACAGCATTGGACAATGGGTGGGCATTGTGTGGCAAGGATCATGAAAAAAATGGGTGGAATTGCGCTTTAAGCCCTGGTTCACATATATACAAACTGGATGCATTTTGAATCATATCATGACACTTGAACCAAACGCAGTGCATTTTTAAAAAGTCAGGTACGATTTTCAGTCCGGTTCAGGTGCGATTTCGAGTGTCATGCACTTTAAAAATACGCACCTGAACTGCTGAACGAAACCGCACCGGACTCCTTAGAAAAATCACACTGAAACTGGATCCGCACATATGTGAACCCGGTCTTAAACATGACCAAGCAATTTTGGCTTAGTAAAAAACAAGCTAATTGATTTAGCTTGACGTAGCAAAGAGCCCTAAACCTCCACCAAAGGTTAAAAAGTATCACTTGACCCCTCTGCAGCTGGCCATCCCTTTGTTACACAGCTTCTAGTGATCAAAACACTGCTATGTTACCATAGACGGACAGTCTCCAAGCTATTTGTCATTTTTCCAGACAGTGATTTTTTTGTTCTGGCTTGGCCCGATGGAACCATTCATACCAAGACCCATTATAGATGGCAGTATCTTCCTTGCCCAGAATGTAGGAAGCTAAGGCCAGCTGACAGGCTGTTACACCACGCCGACAAGTAATTGTCAGGGGCTTCTTCAGATCTATTCCTTTATCTTGAAAAAGACATTGCATCTCTTCAGGTGACTTCTCAAATCCTTCTTCTGTCAAAAAACTGGTGAACGGGAGGTTTAAGGAGCCAGGGATGTGTCCAGGGAATATTTCTGTAAATTCAACGAAAAAGATTAATAGAAACATGTGAACAAAATGATATAAACTACAATCAAATAGTCTTATCCTAAATACATTTTTTTATTTACGTTGGTACATGGACCATCATAGGCTAAATCGACCACAATTCTTTTAATATAAGAACTGCATTTTGTAATAGAACTAGTATTTCACAATGCCTCCAATTCTATGCTGTGGTCTCAGCCAAGGACAATATTGCTGCAATAAAATGGTATTAAACCCAAAAGCAAACATTTAATATATTGCAGCTTACCATTTCTTAGATGAGATGACTCATTTTCTTTATTAGGCTTTCTTTCTTCTATTTTAACCTGGTAATCCAGCCAATAAGTTTGTTGTTCTTCAAAAGAACAAGCTCCCTTCCAAATGTATCAGTTTACAGGGGTCAGACAAACCATTGGCAGGGGTGCTTACAATAATAAGTTTTATATTTTTTAGGCAAAATCCTTATCCCAAAAAGGAAAGAAAAAAACTGTTTTCTACAACTGCTTATAAAGTATTAGCTGAAGTTTGGCTTCAATTTGTTAGTGTGTTTAAATCTGCTAGTACATCTAACACACCCCCTCCTCCCAGACTGGCAATGCTGCTGTCCAAATGTGCCCTCTGTGCTCCTTCATCCAGAGTAGAGGCAATCTAATACAGCAGGTGTGTCACTGGCTGGATCACCAGGTTGAAACAGGAGGAAATCCTAAAAAATAAAAACTAAATGCAGCCAACATACTGTATCTAATGATTGGTAAGCTGCAACATATTACATTCTTGGTTTAGGGTTTAATACCACTTTAGGCTGAAAGTAAACCTGTTCCCATTTTTTGAAATAAAAACCATTACTAAATTTCTAATCAGGGCTTTTTTCAGCGGAAATGTGGGGGAATACAGTTCTACTAGCTTGCACTGCACTGACTGTATTGTATGTAGTGGCAAAGGGCACTGGGGTGTGCTGCAGAGTCTATTGATGATGGCTGCTGGAGGATCTATGGTCTCTGAAGGGATCTATTTTTGTCGAGGGGGGGGTCTACTGCGGCTAAAGAGGCCTGATGGTGGGGGATCCATTGTTGCTGTGGGTTAATTATTGTTGAGAGTGTTCTATTGTTTAGGGAGGGGTCTAGTGATACTGGCTGCAAGGAAATCTGTTGTTTCTGCCAAAAAGGTCTATTGTTTGAGGGGATATTTTGTTACGTGTGGTCCATTATTGCTGGGGGATATATTGTTGCTAGCTGCTGGATATCTATTTTATTGATTTTCTTGTTCTCATTAGCAATTTCCACACAAATTACTTAGAACCACTAAATATTTGGTTCTATATTCTCTAAAAGGGGTGGTGTTGGGAGGTGGGTAGGGGGTGGAACCAAGGAACATTGCTCAGAGGTGGGTAGGGGGCGAAGACAAGGGGTGACTTGGAAAGGGGGAATCTCTGCACCTATTCTCTGAGAAAAAAAAACAAAAAACCCTGTTTCTAGCAATGGCTACTCTCCTTCAGCTAGAACTGAGAGAGGCCCACCTGTTTTTCAAATTGCCATCTCCAGCCACCTTGGAAATGACTACCCATTAAGCATCCTTATGTCAACATCAACACTGGAATTGACACCTTAAGGGTGAAAAACACAGACATAGCCATTTTGAAAAAGGAAGACTGCCTACAAAAGACACAGAACAGGATAAACACCCAAAGAAAGGAAGGTAAAAAGAAAGAAAAAAAAAAGGTTCTTCTATCTAAAAGCTACTTAGAGCAGGAAATTCCATTTAAGTACAATGGTAAAACCCCATCACCAGAGGTGCACCAATCCAGGAGGACTAACCTCCCCACAAGATGTCCTACCCACCAGGAGAGATTGAACCCCGGTAGGTAGGGTATAATGGTTGGGAGGAAAACCAGAAATACATGTAAGGAAACAAAGTAGATAAAAAAATAACTAGAAAAATAAAAACTTGGAGCTAGGAGAAAAACAGAACACTGAAGGATACCTGTTTTGAATTTATAGACTAGTTAGGTGGTCCTACAGTTGCCAGGAGGGCAAATCTGGCCCAAGGTATTCTGACATGAGTTTTATAACAGAAATTCCGTTTGTAAAGCACTTTTTTACCTTTAAATAGAGTAAGGTTTTAATTATGCTGGTAGCGTTGGCTGTGTAAAGTCGTGTTAAAAACGGGCGTTTTTCAGTATTCTTGCATTAGCATTTAGCCGCGTTTGGTTTGACACACACACAAAATGTCACTCAAAAAAAAAAAGAAAAAAGTAAAACGCCGATTTACCGCGTTTTTTACAGTGTTAGAGCGTTTTTACAGCTTAAAAACATCTCTAGAAACCTACTAGTTTTGGGGGTTTTTTCCAGCCAAAAAACACTGATTAAAGCCTATGTGTGCATGGACACATAGGAGAACATGCTGGGGAGTTTACTGGCTGTAGAAAAAAAAAAAAAAAAAACCCCAAAAACAGCAGCTGTAAAATTGCCCAGTGTGCATGAGGACTAATAGTTCTGGCGGTATGCACAACAGGATGCGCGGAGATCTGTGCAGGTGCATGCAGCCAGCTGCCTGTCATTGATTTCAATCAGCCTGCTTGCATGTACCTGCATGAAATACCTGTGCATCCTGGATGGCTGAAGACTGCCCTTTGCATGGGGGTATGGACCAGTACAGTGAATGAGGCCTAAGAGACACAGGAAAAAAAAGTGTTCTCTATATTTTGTCTCTGCTCCTCCATTTCCTTTGGTTTAGTTAATGCTGTATAGATAGCCCACCCCTTTTCCCAGAAATGCATTGCAGCTTCTAGCCTCATGTCATGAAGCAGGTCACATTATGATCTTTTGACCTATCAGATGTTCATTGTTGTAAGATTCTCTCAGTTTATGGAATAAACATCACAAAATCTACAAGATGTCTTCTGTATTGAGTCACTGCCTATGATATTCAACTAAGATTGGAGTTATCGCTATCTCATTACAACTGTAAGTTACAGAGATCACACTTTCAATGCTTAGATTGGAGAGACAGAACAGGGTACATTTCACTATGTACTATGAAGCAGCTCATAAGTACACCACATAATACAGTAAAAAAAAAAAAAAAAAAAAAAAAAAAAAAAAACACACACAACACACACATTCACTCAGCAGTATGATGCCTAACAAGCTAAGCAGAGCAAAGTTCCCCTAACCATCACATCAAGCATGTTTCCACTTACCCCATAAGCAGTTGAGGACCCTAAGGTACCAATGGTGCAATGTTAGATGTGCAGTGCCCGATTTAGACCCCTGCCCCACTTGTCCTGCATTGCGCCACAACAAAAAGTAAAAGGGTTCAAAACATTTTACCAAGCAAGGGGTGTGATGGAGGAAATCAAGGAGGGATACGGGAAGAGAAAGAGTTTACAGGCCTGAAGCTTTATTGAAGGATAGAGACACACGAGGCTTCATGTACATGAGCTTACCCTGTCCGCCGGCCACTGAAAACTGCAAACCGCACAGAAACGCGGTACCGCAGTTTTGCGTTGTTTCTATCCTGAACGTGATTCTTCCGCGTTCAGGAGAGGGATGATTAACCACACCTAACTGCTGCAGCTCCTAAACTCTGCTAAAAGCTTTATGTGTACATGGACATACTGTATAGGCTTTTATGGAGTTGAGTTTAGGAACTTCTCATATATCCTCTTCCACCTTAACTGCACTGCATATCGGCAGCACAGTAGCTAAGTGGTTAACACTTCCGCCTGGTAGTACTAGGGTCGTTGGTTCGAATCCCAACCACAGCACCACCTGCCTGGAGTTTGCATGTTCTCCCTGTGCGGGTTTCCTCTGGGTACTCCGGTTTCCTCCCACACTCCAAAGACATGCTGGTAGGTTAATTCGCTCTTGTCTAAATTGGCCCTAGTATGTGTATGTATGAATGTGAGTTAGGGACTTTAGATTATACACCCCCTTGAGGGTTAGGGACTGATGTGAATGTACAATATATATGTAAAGCGCTACGTAAATTGATGGTGCTATATAAGTACCTGTAATAAATATGAGCACCTCAATCCAAAAATGTAATTTCATTCATTTTTAATATTTAATGCAAACTCACCCATCTATCCATGTCTCTATGCTTTAATTTTGAAATCATTTGAAAAGCCTCCCTGGTATTTCTGGCAGTGGACATTTTGAGTAAGGGCAGATGAATTGTGTATCATTTACTTCCTGGAATCCATCTGCCCATAGCTCAGGCATAGGCTGAGCCAAGAAACCTCCCTCCCCTCTGAAGACTGTTGAGATGTATGACATAATTTGCCTAGGCATGGAAACCAGGAAGTAACTGAATAAATGTAAAAGAAAAAAAAGTTTAAAACACAAGTAAATCTGAGAAACTTTCCTAACTGTTTACTATTGCTAGCAGCATACGGATTAAAAATAGTCCATGTTGACTGAGAGAGCGAGGTTCTGCTTTAAAGTCCATAAGGTAATAGTTTTGGAGTAGAATATAGACCAGACTACGAGAGTCCTCATTGACATCCTCTCCCTCTTGTGGATGAGGAGCTTCCTGGAGCACCACAAAACACTACACCCATCCCTCAGGTGCCATCAATCTCTTCTTATGCAAATGCCCACAAAATAGTCATTGCAGCACCCCAAAGTAGGTGATGGCTGTCTGTGGTACAAAGACTTTGAGCTCTTGTTCCATGGCCCTTGACAGATTCTGAGCAAAGGGGCACTGCCAGAAGGTCTGCAAAGCAGTTTCCTCATAGATTATGCAAAAGTGGCAGCACCTGTTTCTGCTTACGTTTCTGGCATGGATGATGTCCCCAAAGGCAATCCTGAGACTGCCATCCATGCCAGATCTTTGTGCCTGTTGGTGATTCTATTAGACATCTGCTCCGAATGGACAGTAATAAATGTCAACAAATCCCAAAAAAAATAAAAAAAATTAATGAATGCATTTGTTTCATTGAGATGGCGTTGCATGTTGCAATAGTAGTTCTGGCCCATAGCGAAAAATGAATGCTTTCGATAATGTGAATTTAGAACACGAATTGATTTGAATTTTGTTGCATTCGTTAATTTGGATGCACATGAACCCAGTCAATATTGTCCAATCAGCTTATGCCATTTTTCTTGGTGGGTTGGACTGGCATCCAAATATATTGAATCCATCAGATTCAAATCTGAAAATCTGACCATTTCGATAATATATTGAATATATAACAATTTTCCAGGAAAACTGCTAAATTTTTCATATCCACTTAGACCATACGTAATGCATGCTGAAGAATTCTGAAAACTCATCGGGTCAACATAACGAATATGACAAAAACGAAATTCTTCAATGAACGTATGCATTCAAACGAAATAAAAAATTTCTGGTGTGCACACGTTTAGTCTATTCCTCCACACTGCCTTGCAAGTGGCTTGAGGTAGGCCCAGAACATACTCCACACTGTCCTTGTCTCTAATCAACTTGTAGACAGTCTTTGATTTCCACAAATCAAGCTTGCTCCATGACAGCCAATCACAGTGGTCATGTGAATGGTCAGTTCTTCCCACCTTGTGGCTGTAAAGACCCAGTTAAAGGAGCATCTGGGCTGGGTGGGAAAGGGTTAAAGGAAAAGTGTTGAATACGCAAAATAAATATTCTGAATCACAAGGAAGGATGAACATTAGTCCCTCTATCAGGTATTTGCTTTGCTTTTACAAAGGGTGTGCAGTTCTGAGGGCTAAAACTGCTTTAGATTGTAGTTGCTCACAAAAATTCACACTATGCAAACATCATTTAACCCATACTTCTCTTTGATTCTCTTCTTCTTTTCCTTTTTTTCTCTTTATTTACTTACAAGGACTTTACCTAAAGCTGAGCTCCAGGCTCCTCTAAAAAAAATGTAACTTTTATTAAAAGGGATCCAGCAATGTCCTCACCCAAGCTGATATTTCAATCAGCTTCGGTTGCCGGCAACTTAAGCAAGGGAAACCATTTCCTACTGTGCATGCATGAAGCACGTTGTACTTTGTGAATGGTCCCACAGTCTTCTGGGACCTGTGAAGTGTCCCAGAAGGCTGCGGGGGGGAGAACTTCTGGCCCAGTTGCCCCAGCGTATCTTACCAAAAGTGGGAGTAGATACTTGTCAAAACCAGGTAACCCCACAAAAAAGTGTCAAATGTGGAAGTGGAGGGGCAAGGATGCAAGCAAGCAGAACTTCCTATTTTGGGTTGAGTTCCAGTTTAAATACAATGCATTGAAAAAGTATTCATAACCCGTGAAATTTTCCACATTTGTCATGTTACAACCAAAAATGTAAAATGTAAAAATTTTTTATTGGGATTTTGGTGTCCTTTTATGAAACGGATATCAGCGGCGATCCTAAGGATCATTGCTGATCTCCGATCATTAGTGGTTTAGGAAACAGATGATCAGTGGAGAACATGTTCTCCTCTGATCATCTCAGCACACAGACGGCCAGTGTATGAAGGAGCAATGTCAGCCCTTCACTGGCGATCCAGCCCAGAGGTGGAGAATCAGGGGAACTGCAAACGAAGCAGTGATAATTTACCGCTGCTTAGTAAACAGTGTTTGACTGATCTCTTACTAGAATCTTGCGAGATTGCAGTAAAGCAGCATTTTCTAGCGTGAGAAGCGTTTGTAGATCGCTTCTCTCCTCATTCGGAGAAGCGATCTATGCCGCTGCATAAAAAGGCATTCAGAGGAGAACTGTTTCCTCTGAGGATGCCAGAGAACCGAGCAGCGGTCATTTACCGCTGCATGATAAAAGGACACCTTTATGTGATAGAGCAACACAAAGTGGCACATAATTGTGAACTGTAAGGAAAATGATAAATGGGTTTCAAAATTTTTTACAAATAAATATTACAGTACGCATGTGATTTTTCAAGCATCCCCGACCTGCGCATATTTGAACCTAGGCGTAGTGCCTAGCAAAGAGGTTGCAGGAGATCAGCAGCACTGGATTGGAAAAAGGGATGGTTAGAGGGGACTCGGGAGAATAGTACAGTATTTTCTAAAAGAACAAAAACATGGCCTTTGTTTTAATATACAGTGCTTGGGAAAACTTGCAATGCAATCCAGTTAGGGTTTAGATCTACTTTAACACATAGGGCTTGTTTCACACATCTGCAATAGATAAATGCCATTCACTGCTATGGCACAAAGAAAACAATTGTTTTCTATGTGCCCTGTTCCCACAGCAGTGCAGAGTGGAGATGCATTGTAGGGAGCTGCAGTAACTGCAGTGCACAGGTAGGCATGTAATGTCACTGCACAGCAGCACAACATACCGTGCTGTGCAGAGACATTAATTTGGGCAATTCAAATTGGTTTATATAAAGAAACATTTAAATAAACACAGTGTGATCACTGTGGCTTACAGTAGCCAAGCACTGACAGCTGCCTACATGCTATAATGGATCATTTAGTGTGTTGTCAGAGTGAACAGGCCCTTAAAGTAAATCTAAAACACTTTTTTTTTCCATTTCGGATGAGAGTGTCCCATTTGGGAGATTTTTCTTCACTTCCTGTCCCATAGACAAAACAGGAAGTGAGATGAAATCCCTCCAAAATGAGGGAATCCCTTGTTGCCACCAGGGTCACCATAACTAGTGTCCCCTTAAGAAGATTTCCTTTCTATTCCTGCTTTGGTAATGACCCAAATCAGTTTTTTTGGGGTTTTTTGGAGGGGGTAAAATATTGGACAAATAGAGAGGATGAACCTCTCTAACAGGGGTATAGAAAGAAAAGAACCTTATAGGTGTTTGAATTCCTCTCCACTCTATCTAAAACTAGAAAAAAAGTTTTACCTTTAGCCTGGGTTCATACTGCTGTGATGTGGAGTTCACACTGGTTTCTGTGCAAATTCCACATGCAACATAATCGCTCCCCGTTCATGCAAACCACTGCAGGTATGTATGTTAACAAAACCCCGAAATTGGTTTGCAAAGGCGGTGCGGTGTGCAGAATCGGATCAAATGGGTGTGAATACCCATGTGATCCGATTCTAGTGCGGCCAAAAAATAAAAAAAAGGGTCCTGCACTATTTTGATGCGGTGCAATCTGAGCCATACAAAATATATGGCTCAAATTGCACCGCACAGAATTCACATGCGATTTGCACAGGAATGCAGTACAGTTCATGTGCGAATCACATGCAATATACCGCACCGCAGAAGTGTGAACCCAGGCTTAGTTATACTTTAGACGTCGACAAAAATTGCATAGCCCAAGCCACCTTACCTTCTCCTGGTTCAGGTTCTGTCCCAGTGTATCGTCCTTCAGAACGTGAGTCCACCAGCTGGAACTCTTTTGCTGTCTAGATTTCTTTGGACGTCTTCGAATGTCTTTACCAGGGAAGAATTTAGCACAGCTTTATAAGTCTCTGGCTGGTGTTGTATTACTTTGGATGTTACTGGATGTCCCTGCTTCTCCCAGTTCCTGAACCCTCCATTCAGAACAAACACCTTTTGATGACCAAAGACCTTAAACATCCACCAGATCCTTGCGGCATAGTAAGTGCCCACTTGATCAGCATCGTACACCACAACGTGGCTAGCATTATTGATGCCAAGGTTGCCCACATATTTGGCGAAGGCAGATTCATTGGGTAGCATCATTTCATAGGGAGACGTCTGGTCCTTACATTCGTCTATATCAAAGTATAATGCTCCTGGTATGTGCTTTTCTACATACTCCTTACGTCCATTCCTAATTGGTGGGTAGTAGAACGATGCATCCAGTACACGCAGAGCTGGGCCTGGTTGACCTGATTTCAGGGCTCCAGCTAGCCAGTTTATTGACACCAGAGCCCGGGAGAAAAGTTGCTGGGACATGCTGGCAGACCTGCGTAGACAGCCGTGCGTTGCGTGCTTTTCAAAGCAAGCAGATTATAAGGAGAGGCCAGTGGTGCTACTTCTGGATGACTTCCAATGGGCGGAAACTCTACTTGTTCTTTTTTAACTCCTCTAACTGCTGGAGAAAACAGCAGCCATTTGTCTCAACTGGTCGGAATTGAGAAATAATGTCACGTGACAATACAAGTACAATTTTTTTTTTTTATTGTTCAACTGTTAGAAGTACATAACACTGGTACACATATAGGGCTCATGTGTCTGCAGCTGATAAACTCACGTTCAGGAGCTTTTCTGTGTTTTTTTTTCAGCAGCCCCTGAACTCTCCCTAATGTTTTCCTATGTGTCCATGTACACATCGTCGTTTACAGGCAGTTGAGTTTACAGTCGTTTTTATTAACCCAGCTAAATTGCGTTCAGGAGTAGATTTTACCGGCGTTCCAAACGCTTGTAAACGCGTTGTGGCAGTTCTGGGCACTGTCACTGTGAGAATCAAGGTTATATCCCGGGATTCTCAACTAAACAGGTTGAGGGGCTCCAGAGGGTTTATTTAATGCAGAGGAAACTGGCTTTTCAGTTTCCTCATTTGTTTGTAAAAGTCCGTTTTGGGATCTGGAGCCTGGAAATTTCAAAGTGATCTGGGAGGGATGAAATCTCCAATCCTGGGTCCATGTTTTCTTAACCCCCAGCACAATAATTGTACAAGTGTGTGCAGGGCTTTAACCCCTTTACGCCGTCTGGGTCCTATACGCCGGACAGCCGCACATTTCTGTTCACGTAAGAAAAAACATATGTGCTGAGAGCGTGCGCCCTGCGCGCTCCGAGCACACATGTCCCAGTACTCATGGAAAGGTCCTGGTCTGCTCTTTCGATCGGGACCTTTCCCGATCATGTGACCACCGTGACGATGCGTCACAGCGGTCATATGATCCCTAAACCCCGCCCCACCCATCCCGCCTCTCGGCTTCTGAAACTCTTAAAGGACCGGGAAGCGCCGGCGGGAAGGGGTTAAAGAATAACCTGACTAAGGCTGGCCATACACTATACAATTTTCTTGAGATTTTTGGTTTAGATTTACCAAAAACCATATAATACGAGGTCAAACCTAACAACACTTTCAGTTGTATCCAATCAGGCAGGCCCTTGCACTACATAGTTGAATGTAAATCTAAAGAAAATTGGGCAGAAATTGGACAGAAAATTGTATAGTGTATGGCCAGCCTAGGCTTCAGGGCTCCACCCTGGCAGATAGGAGGTCGTTGCCCAGGAGTCAGGAGGGCCCCACCTAGGAGAGGTGGGAGCCAGAGCAGCAAGGGGCTGTATACCTGAGATAGCCAGGAGGCTGAATATTGGTTTCATTTGTTTTGATGGTGGATACCCCTGTGTGGGAAACATATGGTATGGAACTTTCCTTTAAATAAAAGTGGGCTAAAAGGCCCTTAAAAAAGAAGAAAGCGAGTGGCTGGGTGCTTTAAAAGACTCTACCCTTGATGCTAGTTCCCACAGCATGTAAACGGGATTAACCACGTTTATAAGCATATGCGTATAGCAGCGGTTTTTGACTGGCCCATATCCAGGGCATAATTCACTAAGTGGTATCTTACCGCATCCGAGTATACCATTACGGTAGGATACCGCATAGCATTTAAAAAAAAAAAAAAATTTGAATCCACTAAAAAAGGCTACTAAAATACTGCATGGGTTATTTTATCAAGTCATGCGGTATTTTAGTACTGAAAAGCATGCATTGACGTTTCAGCTGGCAGCGGGGTTCCCACTAACAGCTAAATGTAAAAGAGAATTGCCGGCAATTAAAAAAAAAAATTCCAAAAAAATGGCGTGGGGTCCTCCCTCCCATCCATACCAAGCCCTTCAGGTGTGGTATGGATTTTGAGGAGAAGCCCCACGCCAAAATTAAAAAAAAAAAAATTGGAGTGGGGGTCCCCCACAAAAGCCATACCAGACCCTTATCCATGCATGCAGCCCGGCAGGTCAGGAAAGCTCGCCCCCCCCCCCCCCTGAACAATAGCAGGCCACATGCCCTCAACATGGGGGGGAGCTTTGGGGTAGGGGGGACAAGGGCTGCGGGTGGGGGGGATTATCGGAATCTGGAAGCCCCCTTTAGCAAGGGGGCCCCCAGATCCTGGCCCACCCCCCACATGAATGAGTATGGGGTACCCATTCACAAAAAAAAAGCTGTAGTGTGAAAAAAGACAGGAGACAGTCTTTGACAAGTCCTTTATTAAAAGAAGGAAAATAAAATAAAAGAATGTCCCCTGAAGTAGATCCAACGTCAATCATGATGCCCGCCAACGCTCCGAAAAAAAAAAAAAAAAAAAGCTCTGCTCCTAATGCTGCCCCCCCCCCATCTGCCCCTACGCTAGTTTGACAGTTCTTAAATATGTAAGGGGCAGGGCCACCCGGTGACATCACCATGTGACCCAGCCCCCGTGTGACATCATCGACTGGGGCATGCTGGTCACTGATGTCACATGGGGGTGGGGTGAATGAAGATAAAATAATGCATGCGGTATTTTAGTAGCCTTTTTTAGTGAATTTACTATTTTTCAGTGCATTATAGGCATTTGAGAGGGTCTAGCGAGGTTATCTTTTAATAAAGCTTCTAAACGCACACGTTCATAAACACTACTAAATGTGTATAAACGTGGTAAGTAAACGCAGCTAAACTGACATTTTCAACCGACGTTTTCTAGCAGTCAGTTTCCAGCGGTTAGAAGAGTTTTTCAAAGGCCCTGTGTACATGAGCCGTTAAAGGCAGGTATAGACAAAATAGATAAATAGATATATTCACGTACAATGAATATGGAGAAGGTGGGAGATGGAAAGAAAATAACTCTACCTAACCTTGTATATTGGTTTTACTGGTACCACACCCCCCTAAGAAAATAGTTGAAAAGACCCTAACCAAAAAAGCTAATGGGGCTTTAATGGTACCACACCATAACACTAGAAATATAGTAGACAGGTATAGACAATTGATACAATTGTATACATAAAACATGCAGCGCTAATAAAGACTAGAGATAAATAAAGCATAAAAATCATAAAAATCAAACAACAAACTCATAAAAACTTGGTCCTCTACATAGAGGGATAAGTGACTAAATAGTAATGAGAATATAATGGAATATAATGACGCTCAATGGCGTAATCAATAATGACAAGTGCAAACGTCCAGAATCAGCGTTATAAAGTGCACAGTGATAACGATGGTAACTCTCAAGGCAGATTAATGAAAACTGGTGACACTCTGTGACCGTGTTCCTTAAAAGGTGATGAGTAAAGATTGCACTAACCAGAAAGCGCAATTTAATGCGCATTTGAGTAATTCATAACCTACTCCTGGTCATCCACATCTGGGAACTGGAACACAGTGGGGATCATCTGGCCAGCGTCAGCTAGGCAGGTATCACACCATCAGGGTCTCCAGGTACCAAGGAAAAGCAATCTTCTCACCAGCAGGAGGAGCCAGTCTCACCATTAGTGTAGCAGCCACCAGGTCATCAGGGTATGCCTTGAAGGGGGGGGGGCTCGGGAGTAGTAACGAGCCAAACACAGAGAATCCAGATAGTGTAGTACTTTATTAAAACAGCGGGGGTGTATAACACAGATGAGAACTCACATGCTGCAGCCTGAAAGCTGGCAGGGAAAAAGCCATCCACGTGGGCCGTGCGGAGTGACATCACAGGGTGTAGGGCACCTCCCTAACGAGTTTCGTGCCCGTGCACGTTGTCAAAGGGCGGCCATCTTGGATTTTTCCCTGCCAGCTTTCAGGCTGCAGCATGTGAGTTTTCATCTGTGTTATACACCCCCGCTGTTTTAATAAAGTACTACACTATCTGGATTCTCTGTATTGGGCTACTGTATATCAAGCCAGGGGCGCCAGATCTGCAGAAACTTTGTGTGAGTGTCTAACAGCATAGCCGTCAGTTTCTCATTAACCATTTTAAAATTCATCCGATTTTTGACTGCGTTGAAGCTGAGGAGGGGGTGCGTTGAAGCTGAGGAGCCCTCGCGATCGTTAATTTGTTAGCCATGAATAGATGTGATACCAGCTGCTGCTCAGGAGTTTCCTGGCTACTTTCTCAGGTCCCAGAAAACTGCTGGACCAATCAGGAGGTGCAGTGCGACTTGCGCATGCACAGTGGGCAACAAGCTGTGAAGCCGCAAGCTGTCACAGCCTGGTACTCACAGTTGCGATGCCCTGGAGAAGGGGAAAAGGGGCAGCGCGGGTAAGCACATCACTGGACACTGGGACAGATAAGTGTGTGTTTATTAAGTCAGCAGCTACAGTTTTTCTAGCTGCTGACTTTTATTAAACACAAAAACGACTGGAACTCCACTTTAAGGAAAAATATCTTCTACTTCCAGCTCCCCACCCCCAGTCCCCACTTATACTTACCTGAGCTTTATCCCGATGCAGCACTGTGCACAGCTCTCCCAGCTTTCTTTCTCCTCATTGGATAGAGAAGCAGCTGCGGGAGCCATTGGCTCCTGCTGCTGTCAATTACAGCCAGTGAGGAGAGAGAGGGGATGGGGCTGAGCCCCTCCAGAAAACATAGCGTGTTGTTCCATGGGCCCAAACAGTTCTTTTTGTTTCATACAGTCCCACAGAACACTATCCACAACTTTTGTGGCCTCATGTGTCAATGGGCACACAGAGCTGGCTCGGGAGCGAGCACACATGAGTTTCCATATAGCACGTGGTTTGCTGTGGGGGCACTCAGCAGTGGGGAGAGATGTGAATAGGCACCATAATAATGTGATTTCTACTGTAGTGCTTTGTAGTGCAGCAGCATTAACAGCAAGTGGTGACCTATGGAATTATTGTGATAGCACAGCAGAGCAACAGTACAGGGGGCAGGTGTTGATGCTACTTATTCTTCAGAAGGGCAGGCTTGTTGAGTGTAAATAGAGCTTACAATCAGTTTTAGGGTTTAGGCAATAGTATATATAGTAGT